TGAGATTTTCATTTGTTGTCATTTGTAATCATCAAAATTAAACGAAATAAACATTTGAAATATATGAGTTTGTATGTAATGTATGAATATAATATACAAGTTTCACTTTTTAAATGGAATTACTGAAATAAATCTACTTTTTCATGATATTCTAATTTAATGACCAGCACCTGTATAACTGAGTAAACATGTCACAATGTTACACAACAGGGTGGTACCAGAGTCGTCAGCTGTTCCACAAAAACTGCCCTCCTGCCCTCTCACTAATGGTTTTCAGGCATTAGTGAATAAAATTACTGAATTTCAATAAATCGCCTTGAATAATTACAGAACAAGATTAAGTCAATTTATGGTATCCTGTGTGCTGCTTTTACAAAAATATCAAGATAACATACAACTTTTGTGAGGGAATGCAAAAGAAAAGAAAATTACCCATGATGCCTCACAGGCTCTGCACCAATCAAATGAGGCGGTTAGAAAAAAAAACACAAATTGAACAAACTAACACAGCTGAACTACCAGACAAAAATCATGGCCAGGAATCATTGTAATGCAACAGAAACAATGCAGTCAATCAGAATAAACGTGCATTTAGCTCTGCTAGTTTTCTTCTTCTTCTTCTTCTTCTTCTTCATGTTGCTTAAAAAAATTGCTTTGAGTAATTCACAAAACACATTTTGTTAAGTAATAGTCCTGCCTGTTGCAAAAACATGAAAAAATTAATAGCTTGACTTATGTAAAAGAAAACTGGGGTTTACGGTAAACCAGACAACATAGCTGGTCTCACTCTCTTGTAAACCTTTCCTTTGACCTTTGCTGCCACTGGTACTTCTTAACTCGTATGTTTGCACCTTTTTTTCTCATGTAAGGCTTGGAGTAAACAGTAAACGCATTACAACTTGAAACACGCAGACTCACTGATGTCTAATGATTTGATTCAGAAGGAGTTGGCGTGCTTAAAAACCACATCCAGAGGACGTAAACGGCAGCATCACAGATGGAGCAATATCCCTCCTAAAGCCAGCGTTAAACCTAGTTTTCCACTTGTGTGTCAAACCCAGCGGCCCCACAGGACTGCYGTTGTTTCAGCAGATTTCTAGCATGCAAAGACTAACATGTCAGGGGCGAGCTACACGTTAGGAYGTTAGCTTGACTGTCCCTTAGCACGTCAACAACAAACACCTGGACTTAAAGTTTAAACAGGAATCGTTCATTTGTTAGAATTGGTCTTTCATTGTTTCCATTTAACCAATTTTAATACATTTAATTTAAATGACCAGACTTGTAGAGTCAGTTTCTCTGAGCTTTTTTCCCACGTTTACACAACACAACGTTTTATTTCATTCCAAAWGAAACACAGACCCAGAATGTGATGTTTTCGATAAAAGAAGCCACAAGGCCGCACAACACGGTGATGATTTCAGAATCGTCACTTCTTTTCAATTTTCCTCCATTCTTCAATATTTTTCCTTACTAAACGATCTGYAACCATTGACAGGTAATTAAACAACACTAGTCACCTTGTAGGCGTGCTTATGTTTTGTGCTGCCTACAAAACATGCAGCACTTTAAAAATTTTCAGTATTTTTATTTTTGTAGACATCTTGAAAAGCAAAGTTCCAAACAACGAGTTTAAATATATATATTTACAGCACTTAAAATATCATTTAGAAGCCCACTTTTCCTGGTGGGTGGCTGAAACATTTATCAAGGGGGTGAGGTAATATTTATTTTTTTGTGGAGAAATGATCCCTCATCCCTTCCTGCCGTCTGACTCACTGAGTTCTGCACACAGCGTCTTGTTTTGATTAAAGAGCTGAAATAAAAAAACATTTGGTCCTTATTTGAAGATTTGCAACTCACTATCAAATATAAATCATTTCAATTTAACGTCAAACTTTACAAAGTGATTGCAGCTACACAAACTATGAAATGTGACACATTTTTAGAGACTCACAAACCCAAATTTTAATCCACACCAGTCAAATTATACGAGGATAAAAAAAAGACTTCACCTCATTCAAACGTCTCCTTTCTCCTTGTGTTGTCCGCAGATGTGGCAGCCGTCCACCTCTGAGCCCCTCTCCTCCTTTTCTGGCTTGAAAAAATTGAGTTTTGCTGCCGCTCCCTCGGAAGACTSAAGCTCTTTTTATAGACGCACCAAGTCACAAAGCGTCAGGTCTCAAGGCCTTTTGGGTGTGATGGAGGTGAGGCTTCARCTACTCCTCTCTAAATAAGGAGGAGGTTTTTTTTTTTTTTGTATATGACCACCCACACAGTTTCTAATCAATACTGCAGGCAGAGAAAAATAAGCAGAAGCTGCACTCTTTGTTATCTTTTTCTGTTTTAATACGCTCCCCAAAACTTTTAACCCAACTAAATGAGAGACTATTGGTTGTTTTTTTTTTTGTTGTTTTTATGTAGTGAATGGGGGATTAAAATAAATGCAATTACTTTTTGGAAACAGCAACGGTTTATAAAGGAATATTCTTCATTTTTGAGRGTTTTTGCTCCTGAAACATGAGCCTCAGTTTCTCCTGTTTTAACACAGAGAACATATTTTCTACATGGACGTCTGCAAAATCTGTTCGACTCGGTGGTTTGTTGTCGAAGGTGTGCATGTCTCCCTGTGTGGAAAGTTCATTATGAGAACCTGAGTCACTGGGCTGACGTCATGACCACACACACACACACACACACACACACGCACGCACACACACACACTGTGCTCCATAATAGAAAACAGTGAAGTTCCATTCACTTGTTCTTTGTGAAGTGTTTAACGTCTTCAGGTCTCTTCAGCAGGCTACGTTTTGTTTCTTTCAAGGTCGAACGTCCACAGAATGACATCAGTTTGGTTTCAACAGAGAAAGAACACAAACCTGATCTAAGAGGCTCTGATTTACGAGTTTTCTATCATTTCGCGCCAACAGATTTTACTTACGAACACCGCAGATGAGGGATAATAAGTTAACTCGGGGCTTTGTGATCATACGACCATGAAATCTTCACTCGTCTTTTGGTTTTTGTCTCCGTTCGTCACATTTAGATGTGTGTAAAGCATCTGCACTAACATTTGGTCTCACTCAGGRGTCGCCAACCTGCTGCACAGGAACAGGGACACACAGGTCCTGATCCGGCTACCTGATGGATCAGAGCAGACAGACACTCAGCAGGCAGCTCTTTCTGTTTAGAGCTCCACTTCAAACATTCACAGGTATTATTATGGAGAGAAAATAGACTCATAAAGGCCTGATGCATCTCAGTAATCCAGGTAAAAAATCAAAAAGAAAAAAATTGTATAGGTCTTCTGGACGGGTTCTTTTCTAATGAAACGTTTCGTCTCTCCTCCAAGAGACTTCTTCAGTCTGAGAGTTTCAGGCAAATTCAGGCTTTTAAGCCCTGCCTCCATGTGACTGATACTCACATCACATGGCTATCGTTGACACCTAATTAACACCTATTGTTAACAGGGGGTGGAGTGATACTGGAAATAGCAGCACTGTAGGAAAGGGGACAACTGAAAACGGAGGCCTCCAGCTCTGTTTAATGATGGACGGTCTTTCTTCACAAAAATGGCTTCTTTTACTCCTCTCTCAAACCAACGTTCCTCTCTATCAAGAATGAGAACATCCTCATCTCTGAAAGAGTGAMCGTTTGATTTGCGTTTTGACTCCCACCACCCACTGGAACACAAGTTAGGAGTGATCAGGACTCTGTACCACAGAGCAGACAGTGTCCCTACAAACCCAGGTGCCAGGGAGAAAGAGAAATCACACACACGACAGGCCCTGGAGCAGTGTGGTYATCCTGACTGGGCTTTCCTGAAAGCAGACAGGAAACACAGACAGGATTCCATGCAACCTTCAGGTGAAAATGAAGACCCCAAACCCAGACCCAAACCAGTGGTTATTCCATATGTTGCGGGTGTTTCGGAGAAACTGAGACGTTTATTTTCTAAACATGATGTCCCAGTGGCTTTCAAACCCCAAAACACATTACGGCAAAGGCTGGTTCACCCCAAAGATCCGGTGCCCCGGCACAAACAGAGCAATGTTGTATATGCTGTTAAGTGCCAGGAGGACTGCGACCAGTTATACATCGAGGAAACAAAGCAACCACTGTTCAAAAGAATGTCCCAACACAGACGAGCTACATCTAATGGCCAGAACTCTGCAGTTTTCACTCATTTACAGGCCAGCGGTCACTCTTTCAGAGATGAGGATGTTCTCATTCTTGATAGAGAGGAACGTTGGTTTGAGAGAGGAGTAAAAGAAGCCATTTTTGTGAAGAAAGACCGTCCATCATTAAACAGAGGTGGAGGCCTCCGTTTTCAGTTGTCCCCTTTCCTACAGCGCTGCTATTGCCAGTATCACTCCACCCCCTGKTAACAATAGGTGTTAATTAGGTGTCAACGATAGCCATGTGATGTGAGTATCACATCACATGGAGGCAGGGCTTAAAAGCCTGAATTTTGCCTGAAACTCTCAGACTGAAGAAGTCTCTTGGAGGAGAGACGAAACGTTTCATTAGAGAAGAACCCGTCCAGARGACCTATACAATTTTTTTCTTTTTGACTCATAAAGTTTGTGTGCGCGTAATAAAATTTGTGGGTGCGTAATAAAGTTTGTGTGTGCGTCATGCATTTTGTGTGCATGTAAAACATGATTTGTAACCCATAAAAACATTTTGCGCATAACTTTGGGTATTTGTAAGTGTGTATTCAAATGTACACACAAATATTTTTACCTTCAACCTCACAAATCTGATAATTACACACACAAACTGGCTCCTACGCATACAAGTCATTAAATAAGCACGGACAAAACTACATTTACGCACGGATCAGGTTACGAGCGCACAAATCATTTTGAGACTGTTTTCACGCTGCTGAGAGGTAAAAAAAATTGTGTGTGAAATTTTAATGTTTGTGTAATTTATATTTGCGCGTGTGTACTTTTATTTTGTATTCGTCACTTTAATATTTGTGTGTACATTTGAATACACACTTACAAATACCCAAAGTTATGCACAAAATGTTTTTTATGGGTGACAAATCACATTTTACACACACACAAAATGCATTATGCACACACAAACTTTATTACGCACCCACAAATTTTATTATGCATACACAAACTTTATGAGTCTATTTTCTCTCCATGTATTATTATCCATAACTTGTATTTACGGATCTAAAATAATGTTTTTCATSTGTTAGTAATAAATTAGACACATATAAAACTGTTACTGTAGTGTTCTGCTGGGTGCTGCTGTTGTGAATAACCTGGGAGCCACAAGAGGCTGCAGTTGGTTCATAAATAAGAMAACTTTAGACTGCTGRAAGTCAAAATGCTTCATTTTCACATTTCTGAGTGAGTAAATATGTGTAAATCCTGTGTAAAAACACATTTGGTGAATCTGAGCTACTGTCATTTACTCGTCCTGCACTCCTCAACCTGTCAGACCATGTTATTTAAAAAAACATGTCATTTATAATGCTTCCTATCTAGACTTTAGGCTCTGCAAAGCCCTTTATAAATATATATTTGTTGAAAATGTTTTTAAATCAATGATTTATCAAAAAAGTTTCTTTTTTGTTCTTTATAACTCTAAATGTCTGAACTTATCGATTGTAGCAACCAAATGTCGTAAATATATTTGCATTGAAATAGGTCTAAACATAAAAAAAATGTAGGTTATGCATATTAATCGACCCCACCGACGCTGCAAATCATCCCGGGCCTAAAGACAGAGACAGAGACGGGGGACATGGACTCCTTTGTTCCACGTTTAGTCTCCTCCGTGGCCCCTGGAAAACCATTAAAACAGAGGGGACTTCTCCCAGGAGCTCGGCATTCCTCGGATTCCTTCGTTCTGATGTCAGAGCAAAGGGGGAGGGGCTTCGGGAGGCGTCCGGGCCGCGTTGGTTGCGTTCACGGTCCACATCGAGTTTGCGGATTCACTAATATTAGCTTGTCTATTTTAAAGCGATTATTCTTGTAGCTATTTCATAAAATAACCAACATAATTTTAAGCACATAATTAAGATAACTATGTAAACTAGTTGTATTCACTAACCTTAAAAAATTAAACCTATATGTCGTAAACGTAGAGAAAAGTGTAGCCCCGCTTCTAGGTGAATTTTTTTTTGCTAACATTTGTTGGTGCGTTTAAAATTCAGGAGCTTATTTAAGATCATGTTATGATAATATTATCATTATTAAATTATAATAATGCAGCTTACTGGCTTTTTGTTTTGAATTTTACACGGTAAATCCCAGTATTCCCATTCTTTCATGTAACACTTGAACGCATCGTTATACTCTCTCTCAGCTGGACCTGAGCGCCCCGCCTCTGTTGGAAAAGACCGACCTCCTCTAAACTCATGAAGAACTGCAGTGAGAGGAGGACATCATATCGGCGCTAACCAAGTAGGGGGGAAAGTTTATTCCAATTTTCAAACTGTTTTTGTTGAAAAGAAAAAAGAAACAAACTCCGAGGAGCAGCAGCCGTTTTTGACTGCCTTTCTTTAGCGACTTGTTTTTTTTTTTGTTGTTGCCCCGCTTCAAAGTTAGCGCTCGTGATGCTAGCAAACCGAGGGTTTCCACAGGATTTTAAGGCTGACTTTTGAAGGATTATTTCAAGTCCGTGAAGCGAAGAGGAATTTCTTAAAAGCGGGGAGCTGAAGTCTGCATGTAGCGAAGGATAAATCAAAGGTGAGTTGTTTTGTAGAAATGTAAAAAAAGAAAAAGAAAACTTCAAAGTTTCCAACGCGGACACTCGAGGAAAAGCCAAAGAGAGAGAGAGAGAGAGAGAGAGAGAGAGAGAGAGAGAGAGAGGGGGTAAAAAAAACCCTTTTTGGACCACTTACCCCCATTTTCTAACACCCCTTAAACTACACATTAGACCACCAACTTACAAATGTATTTAATAAAAACAGCAGGAGGAGTTCTGTTAAACCCACTAGAAACCCCACGGAGTCCGTTATAAGACCCGATCCTGATGATCCACCACACCTGGATGATTGTGTGTTAGTGTGTGCTTTCGTGTGATTGTGTCCTTCACGTGGGGTAAAATGAGTTTGGTGTGTGTGTGCGTGTGTGATAATGAAGTTGCACAAACTGTGCATGCATGATGATGTGTTTGGACATGCATTTTCTCTTTGGACTGCTGTAAACAGAGGAGAGTTCTGTAAAAACATAGCTGCTGGAGGCTTAGGCTACACGCACGCACGCACGCGCGCACACACACATCTGGCTATCTTTATAAGCTCAAAGGCATGCTGTGCAAATTATATGGTGCAAGTGACTTTGGAGTACACCCTGGTGGGGAATTTAAAGCAGCAGGACTTATTCCAGTTGTAGCCTCCATCCATGCTTCCTGTCTCAGATTGGGGGGACTAAGGGGTGGGGGGGGTCTAGTTGAGTTTTCTGCACCAATAGGAAGGTTACTCATATTTATCTTGTCTCAGAGGTCTGTTTTGTCAAAAAGGGGGCAGCATGGTAATTCTATAATAAGTGTTTACTTCATCGTGAGACTGCAGTTCAAAGAGAAAAGTGGCCATTGTTTGAGCTAAAAGGTTATTTTAATGACTGCAGTGGCAAAAAAAAAAAAAAAAAAAAAGCAAACCTGTAATTTTGGTCAAGTGGTCATATTGTAACACAGGAAAGGAGAGTGAGAGGGAAAAAAATAGCCCACTCTAGTCGTTGTTGTTGTTGAGGTTTTTGCACTAATGTTAAAGAGCCCAGGTTTTCAGAGTTATGTGGTGCATCTGGGTCCAGAAGAAGTTCGACACTGGTTCCAAACCCTCCCAAATGTCACGACTGTTACTGGGACACAGATGCCAGGAACACAGCGGATTGTGCCGACTCTCAGTTCAGACCGAAGCTGATGGGTTTTCTTCACGTGTTGCTGCGAAATCGAACAAAATTAACGTATTTCTCCGTCTTTAAAACATCTGGACTTCCTGTCTGTACGAAAGAACTGMCAGAGGACTTCTGTTTAAGCATTTAGTAGGTTCATTAATTAATTTTTTTTGCTTTTGCAGCCATTAAAATATGAAGAAAACAAGATATTTATCATTCAAAAGCAGTTAAAAGCAGTAGCTCGGGTCTTTTAAGGAAGAAATCTGAGGAAAGGAACAGTTAATATCTTACCTGTTGTGGATAGGTCTTTGAAAGACTTCAGTTTGGAGAAATAAGTGTTTAATTCTGATCAGATAAACAAGCTAAGTTTAAAAACATAGAATAAAGACAGAAACAGGACTTAAAATCAGTCAAAAAGTTCAATATCAAAAATTTAGCATTGGCTCATGTTAATATTTTATTAGTCTTTATGCTGATACAGGGCTACAAAATATAGCAATCTGAAACTAGCTGTTAGCTCATCCAGAATTAAACTTTTACTTCATCAAACTGACACTGCTTATTGACTTATCTACAACAGGTAAGATATTGACTAACTTTTTACATGATGTACTACACAAATGGTTCCCAAAGTTGGGGTCGGAACCCCACTGTGGGTCCTGAAACATTAAGGTGGGTTCTTGAAAGGATTTTCATAATTAATTACATTTAAAATAACTTTTAACAACATTTATTTCGTTGTCCATTGAAGAGTGGGGTTAATGTTCTTAAAATGGATGAAATTAGCATAACGAATATGGTTACTGTTAGCTGATACAATGTTTATCACCCGAAAATAGTTGAGGGCACAGGYTTCTGGTGCTTTTATTTTGTAGGTCAAAAGCTGAAAAGTTTAGGAACCATTGCTCTGAACATTTGATTGTAGCTAAAATTCTCACCGGTATCTAAACCTGGATAAACGTTTTAAATGGAAGGCAGAAAAACAAAGCATTACTGCGTGACTGTGCTTTTTCTTATGTTGCTTAAATAAGTTGATTCCAGATTAAGACAACCAAAACATAATTATCTCGTGAAACAGACACTTCATTTTCAAAGTGTAAACAGCAATCGTATGATAATGTAAGGTAATAAAACACAAGTTGGCACCGTGTCATTAAATATTCAAGGTATTTGGTGAAATTCATTGTTGCGGGGGTTGGTTTTATTCTAGTGTTGTGTGTGTGTGTGTGTGTGTTTGGTCTGTTTTGTGTTTTCTGGCAGCTCGGCGAACAACAACAATGATGGAGTCTGTAGCGTGCCTCGACACGCCCGACTCTTCCCACAATCCGCCAGGTGTTGGGTGCCAGCTGCCAGTCAACGAGGGGCCTCGTCTCCGTTCGACTCCCGATGACGCGCTCTGCACGAGCCGAGCCGTGAGGGGCTTTATGAGACCGTTTCTGTTTGATGGRACTTTTGAAGGTTGTGTTCCGGTGTGGAAACTGTAGCAGACCCCCCTCCAACATGTTGCTGCTTTCATGGGAAGTCGGCGCATCTGTCGCTCCGGTGCTTCGGAGGTTTTACTATGAGAACATCCTGAGTGGGTTTTTTTTTTTTTTTTGGTCACTGAGCATACGTGTGTGTAGAGGGAGCACGGTTGGGTGGGTGTGATTTGGTTCCCAGGAGTAGGAGAGGAGGGGGTGTAGGGGTATGGAAAATGTGAAGGGGGCCGTGGTTTGGCTGTCGGCTGATGGTCCCACGCTTCGCTTGTTGATCGTGGCCGCCGTCCCCGCGACTGTCCCTGTTTACTCTCCGCTTCCCTCCGACGACTGTACCAACATGATAAGAGTCGATCCTTTCTGCTCCGTCTGMCTCTTCGTTATCTGAAGCCTCTATTTTCTCACAGAGCTGCTGGGAWTCACCACACAGTCACACGTGGGCCTCCCCCCGACACACACACAGAACCCCCCATCCTGTCTGTGCCTCAGTTTTATCTCTTATCATGTTTCCCTGATTTCATCGCTGCAGTCAGTGGAAAGAGCCCTGGTTTGATTTGTTCCTTCTCTAGGACTAATGTTCTGGTGCTTTCCCTTTTTGTTTACTGAAACTATACTATTGTTTTCCATTACTTCATCTGCCAAAATCTGTGTAACTGATGGTTACGGATTTACTTTTATTTAGCACAAGAGGAGTTTGTGTCTGTGACCATTTTAATTTAATTTAATTTTTTTACAAGATCTGCAAAAAGGAGTTCCCCTATATCGGGTCTGCAACCTGCGGCTCTGGGGCCGCATGTGGCTCTTTGGTCCCTCAGTGGTKGCTCTCTGAAAATGTGGCCAAACATAACAGAATATTTTTTGTTTGTGTGTGTTTTTATACTCACAACAGAAATCAATTTGTATGCAAATATGTGATCAATACTAATACAAAATGTAAAACATGCTAGCCTTTTATGTACTTAAGTGATCCAACTTCTTTCTATGATTTTTCTCTCAAATCCATCAGAATTACCTTTTAAAGAATTTGAAAACAGCATAATAATAGAAAGTAGATTTAAAAAAATACCTGAATAGTTCAGTTGCACTAGTTTTTACGAAATGTATTATAAACTATATACAGTATTTTTCTTGTTTACATGAATTTGGTCTTTTCATTTGTCCTGATGTGTAAACATAATAGTAAATAAWAAAATTCACAGTATATTTATTTTATTTTTGTAATGTCACTTCTGGCCATAAAGCTTCCCGAAAAGGCCTCGAAATGGCCCACGGACCACCACTTGAAAATTGCAGTTGTAGCTTGTTTTGCGGCTCTGGACACATTTTATTACTTTGTCAAGTAGCAAAAAAATGGCTCTTTTGATCATAAAGTTTGCAGACCCCTGCCCTGTATGGTAGAAAATGTGTGTTCAGGGTTGGGCAATATTGTCAAGACAGTTTGTCACCATTAATTGTGGCGTTTAGCCAATAGTGATTAATTTGACGATAAATAGTAGGTGCGCACCAGTTTTCTGGCCAATCACAGATCTTTAAAAAGTCTGACCTGCCGATTTTGATTTAGTCCAACACCAGTTTTTTAAATAGTCTGACACTAAAAGTCACAAAACACCTTCAATGTTGCAATYTTMCTTTATTGAAAAACACTGAACTAAATGTAGTAATTGCAAAGAGGCAAATATTAATTGTTGACAGGTTTTCCTGATGATTAATTGCACACCGTACGATTTGCCCAACTCCTGTGCTCAGTGGTTGAGTTACATCTTCGGCACATCCTGGAGTTCTGCAGCAGTTTGTTAATCAGTCATTTATTCAGGTCAGGTGTGTTGAAGCAGAACAGAGGCCCTCGAGGACCAGGACTGGACACGGCGGGCTTAGTGTGCGTTTAAATGGAATCAGTAAAACACTTTATGTTCAGGCCTTTGTTGTACACACACACACACGCACGCACACACACACACACAGTGTGATTTAGTGGATGCCTTAGAAATGGTTTATTTTAAATAGAAAGATGGAAATATTTGGAGAATAACATCTGGCAGATGGGTTGGTTTTTAATGAGCATTCTCACAGATTTAGCAAGAATTCACCATCCTCAGAAGAAGAGACTTGACCAGAAGATAATTGTTGTTTGTGKTTTTTTTTTATTTATTTGATTTGTTGCCACTATTGTAAAATTTTTTATTTTTCCCACATGAGGTTTTCGCCTCTGCCACTAATATTACTGCAACCTTAGCTGTTTGGACCCATAATAAAGTGTAACTCTCCTCAAAGGAACGTACATAATTTTTTTTTATTGACATGCTTTTCTACTGGACTCATGGGGTGAAAATATAAAATGGATTATCCAATCAAAGTAGACATCTGTCACTGAGCAAG